AAAACAAACACAGAAGAGTGAGTAATTAGAAGGAATACTCCTATATTTGATTTTTCAGGAACCCTTTTTAAACAAATGGGTATCAAACAAATCTGACATAGAAATGTGCTTTAAAAATGTTATTCACGTAACTTCTTTACCCAATTGAAAAAGAACCACAGTTTCCTTACATGCTTTTTTTGACTACTAGTAAACAGCAGCAAAGCTTCAATGTAGTAAACATTTCTTTACCTTTTACTTGAATTGGCTGTTTAGGTGAAGACTGCTTTTGACCTGCATTGGTTGTATCTTGTCCTGTAAAATAAAAGTAAAGATCACTGTAAATATGGAAGTAAAGACTTTGGTTGACATAACAACATAAGAATATATCTTAATATTGCTTTTCACCCTGACCATTAAAAATATATTTGGTAGATTTCCAACATTTGAAACTCTCAAAAGAAAGAAACAGTAAAAAAAAAATAAAAAATTAGACATTTAATACAGCATTGATCAATAGACTCCTAGCAGCTTGAAGAAGAGCACCAACTTCCAACATACTTCAGAAAGTATTCTGAATTTAAAAAAAATATTTTAACAGTGTACTTATAGTTTGGGACAAGTTTTTATAGCTTATGGCTGCTATATATCAGAGCGTCTCAAAGCATTCAAGCTGGGATTCAATTTTAAGGGACTGAAGCTTCTTCATTTACAAAAAGTAAGCTCCTTAAAATACAGAATATTTAAACTAAAATCCACAACTCCTATGTAACAAGATGGAGCTAGAATGAAAAAGTATTTTAGCTCGTTTTGAAACTTGAGGATATGATTCCATAAAAAAAAAAAAACAACAATAAAATATAATTTACAGTGGTTAATTTAATCTTAATATTTGGAAAATTATAAAATCCAGTAATTTCAGTGAGATTTCTATTTAGAAACCAGAAGTACTACTTGAAAACACAAACAAATATTGCATCCTTGTCTCATATATCTTGACACAGCTTTCAGAACCAAATTATTATAATTCTAACACATCAAACCAACATATCCACTCTTTTGTGCCCTACCGCTCCCTAACACTGGAGGTTTGCCACACATCCATAATCATTAACAAAATTAAAAATTACATCACTGAAAGTGATATAATAAAAAAAATAAAGATTTTTTCAAGCAGGTTAGTGTTAATTAATGCGATATTCCTAGCTTAACATGCTACTCAAACTACTCAAAGATCGAATCTTGAAGGTTGGACTACATAACTATCTTTCCATCAAGGAAATTAATGCCCTAACAGCAATTGAGGACTAACCCTAATAACAATTCTAATATACTTTCTTGGAAAAATAACACATATAGATTCATGCAGCTGATCTTGTTACACAACAAATAAGGCTACACCATAAATAAATAGCATTCTTTAAACAGTCATCTCTATTGGTTACTGTTTGACTTGAAAACAAAACTAAAAAATCCCTTTGTTGTTCCTTTACTTTCTTTTCTTACCTGGTTTAAAACACCAGACAGCTGATGCATGAAAAAAGTTTCCACTAAGACTGCTTAGGAAAAACTGAGTGGCATCGTCTTTTCAAAAAAATGTGTACAACCATTTATATCATTAAAACAAATATCACAAACACCATTTAACAAAAGATCAGGTCACAAGATTTCAGAGGGGGAAAAAAGAGGCACAAAATTTATATCTACGCACAGATATCTATGTACATCAAGTACCCTTTTGAAGACTACCTCAGCTTATAGACTAAACAAAATCATAGCGCATCACTGAGAAAAAAAGATATGGAATACTTCAATTCACAGTCACTGTTTTTCAGACAAGTAGAGATTGATATGATAGAACCTTCAAAACTGAACAACATTTAAGATTCACTTTTGTACTTCCAAACATGAGAAATGTAATACTCTTAGCTGGCTACAGTTACTAGCTTTTAAAGACTGTTGCAAGCCTCAGGAATTTACAAGTTACTAAAGAAGGAAGGAATATCTGCTACCCTGACAATGAAGAGAAGGAAATTTTCTTTAGAAGACCACTTGGTTGAAGACAAAAGCACAAAGAAAGATAGCTCTCATTTTAAAAAGCATCTGTTATCTCTTAAGCACAGTAGTCTTCCAAGCCTGTATCTGTGCAGTCCTACAGTTAATAAGCATCAAAAATAGAGGATGCTATGATGGAGCAAGGACAATACAGTTCTGAATTTCACAAGCACCTATCAAGCACAAGATTGACAACTGAACTGAACAGCAAGGAGGGTCAGGTTATGTACAATGTATCAAATGTTTAATGTGAACAATGCAGTTCTAACAAGTGCCAGATTAGAAAGCTCTAGCAGATGAATCAGCTCAACCTTCTTTACCAGTCATTTATAGCCTGGCCTGGAGAAGCCACAACGCTCAACAGTCACACTCATTCAACCTCTATCATTAGTTCATTTCACACAACATACCTGAAATACTACCAAAAAACATTCAAATGCACAAGAAAAGTGATGAAAGATGAGTAACACATTCCATTTCTTATCCCTTAAGTTATGTAAGCCTTTCAACATCCACATTTTATCCTGGTCACTTTAAATTTGATTCCTCTAAACTTAAATCCTGTAAATACAAGAATGCCAAAGAAATAGATTTCAACATTCCTCCCCGTTTATGCATTTGAAATTCATATATAAACACCCACAAACAACGAATACTAAGAAATCTGCAACCATAATATCGCACAATTGAAAGAAAAAAGTTATCACTAAAGACATTAAGTTTTTACATTTTTATAAATACTCCTTATTTTAGCTTAGTACTACCTGTTTCAGCCTTATTTAGTGTTTCTTCATGGGCTGATCTATTTGTATCTTCTGATCCAAGATCTTTTTTCTGACCATTGGATGTGTAAACTCTCACTTGACTCATCAACTGCATGGGCAGGCGATTGCATGGCAGAATATAAGACAGGCTCCTGCTTTTCATTGAAGCTTTCCATCCTAACAAAGGGAGGAAAAAAAGCTGTTTCAGACAACCATTTTGGAAGGAAAAAGAAGGAAAAGCAAAATTGGAGTATATACCATGCTTTCACTGCCTCTCTTCAAACATCCACTTTTAAATTTCATTCTAACACTAGGGATTTTTACCCATACAATACAGTATGGATACGGATTTTTCCCAAGACCTCTGGATGATCTTAGGATGTTTAAGAAAAAAAAAAGAAAAAGAAAAAAAAACCAATCCAAACCAACCAAAAAAAAAAAAAAAAAAAAACAAAAAACCACACAACAAAGCTATCTGACAAGATGGGCTTACTAATACATTAAGTCACATTATAGTCATACTGCCTCAAAATCTTTAAAAACCAAGTATTGATAAAAGAACAAATACAGACCGCTACAAAACTAGCTAGTGCTGCCATTTCATACAAACCTCTGTATGAACCACAGCTTATCAATTAAGAAAAACTGAACTGTGTGCATTACCCACTTGCTACAGAAATTATGTAGAAAAGTACACAATATTGTATAAAATACTTTCTAAAAGCACATTGAGAAATCACCCTAGGTAGGCAATCTTCTATTTCAAAAGATTAGCCAAAAGTAGAGTTGCATGCAGTACAGACTAACCTGTATCAGCAACCAGTTTCTTTTAGGGAACACAAACACTCCTGTGGGCATATAGCTCCTCCAACTAGAAATGCAGCAGGGAAACTGGCTGCTTTGGAAAGCGCTCACCAAAAGAATAAATAATTTTTTTTAAATAATCAAGCAGTGCTGGTGTATCAAGTCACGCAAAGTATGACCACTCATATACGAATAACACACTGCTCACAAAAAAGGTAATATTTTATAGAAGTGTTTATTCTGTAAAAGTCTCAAAAGCTTTCCTTTTGTTTTAGCCTTCTGCAGTACCAAGGCACCTGCACGTGTGCATGCACTGACCTGACCCTTACTGAAGGAACAATTTCACCAAAAAGGGCAGATAAGCTCTTACTGACTAACAGTTGACGCAAATGGGACAAAAGCCCTGAATACTCAACTCAACATAGCTCAATGGATCAGCTTACTGGCTACGAATTTATAAAGCACTACAATAAATATATGGCACAAGATGAGCAGTGTTGTTTCCTAAGCTTTGGTGTTACTGCAGCAGTTGAAAAGGGTAAACTTCATCAGCACGTTTAAAGGACGTTTTTCTTACTCATCCACACACGCACGAAACCGTTAACGGGTATTTGCTGCAATTCAGCGGTCAGTGGCTACAGGAAGAGGGACAAAACTGGTGAGAATTCAAATGTCACGAGATCTGTAGTCTAAAGGAAAAGCCGGGTCTCGCTCCTCATACCAACACAAACCCTGTCAGGCCGCGCTTCATTTTATGTAATTCCTGCAAACTTCGGCCCCAACACGGGCATGACGCGCCCGCCTTGCGTCAGACGGGGCTGCCACGGCCCGGCCGACGACACCCGGGGCCCGGCCCTGCGCTCGCATCAAAAACTTAGGCGTTTTCCTTCCTGTTGTCCAAAAATTTGGACGTTTTCCCTTCTTTTTAAAGCCGATTCGCAGAACGCAGCCAGCGCTCCCGGCCCGCCGGTGCCCGCAGCCGGGAGCAGCGCCGCTGCCTCGGGAGGAATGCCGGCACTCGCCGTGCCCCAGGCGAGAGCGTAGCTCCATCACAGCTCCCTGCGAGCCCCGGCCGGGGCGGTGCGGCGGGCCGGGGGCTCCCCGCGGGACTCACCGTGGCAGGCGCGGGGCCGCGGCGCCGCCTGGCACCGCAGGTACAGGCGGTAAAGGCCGCGGCAGCCCCGCCGCTGGGCGGCCAGGGCTGGCATCATGGCGGCGGCCGCTCGGCAGCGGCCGGCGGGCGGGCGGCGATGCGCATGGGACAAGGCCGGCGCGGCGGCGGCGGAGCCCCGCTGGCCCCGGGCGGCGGTGGTAGCCGGAGGCCGGCGGTGGGCGGCGCCGCGGACCCGGATGTCCGGGGGAACTGCGGGGCCCGGGCGGGCGGGATCCCCCGCCGCCGCCGCTGACTCACCCGCCCCGCCCCCCGCGCCTGACCCCGGGGAGCGGCGGCTCCGCCGGGCGGGCTGTGGGAACTCGGCCCCGACCGCGCCCCCGCCTCCTCGGGAGAAGCTCCTGCTCAGGAACTACTCATTTACTGCTGCTGGTAGAGGGATAACGCGTACGGGTATGCGTAACATACATTACGTTCTAAGTCTGTTAGCACAGCTAAAAACACGTAAGACAGTGGGGTTTTATAGGATCACAGAATCAATTAGTTGATTCAACAAGACCATGGCACTAAAGTGCTATGTCTAGTCTTTCCTTAAACATCTCCGTGGACCGTGACTCCACCATCTCCCTGGGGAGCTCATTCCAATGTCTAATCATCCCTTCTGTGAAGAAATTCTTCCTAATGTCCAACCTAAGCCTCCCCTGGCACAGCTTAAGACTATGTCCTCTCGTCCTGTGACTTGTTACCTGGGAGAAAAGAGCGACCCCCACCTGGCTACAACCTCCTTTCTGTAGATAAAGTCCCTCCTGAGCCTCCTTTTCTCCAGCCTAAACAACCCCAGCTCCCTCAGCTGCTCCTCATAAGACTTGTGTTCCACACCCTTCACCAGCTTCATTGCCCTTCTCTGAACATAGATAACATTAAACCACGTATGCTAAACTTGTTTGCGTGATTTCTATGTGAAAATGAAATCCTAGCTTAAGCCCTCCATTAAAACGCACTTCCTGGATCAGTGCTGATAAAACAAGATCTGATTAAAAACGATGTCTTTCTCCAGGGAGAGTGCCCTGTGGCTGATCCTGCACTCGAGGGTTGTAAGGGCTGCCTGTGCACAGCTGTGACACCTCCTCCTGCCCTGCTCACCTACAGCCTGGCTCAGGACCGTGCCTGGAATCAGTCCTGCTGGCATCAAATTACACTTTTTTATAGAAGTTTTTTTCAGAATAGCTTCGATACTAGTTTACATGATGCTGAGAAAATGTCTCAGGCTTCCTTGTCTTCATTTGCACCCTGGGAGGAACGTGGGAGCTAACCAGAAGTTAGCTTGGCAGGGAATTTGGATAATTAATGTACCTGATAATCCACAAAGCTTCCTCTCGCTGAGAAGAGTTATAATGGCACCCGCTGTTAACACACCCAATTAAATTTTGAACAAGGTTTGCTGGCACATCTTTACCACCCGGCTACTGAGTAACATTGCCAATGCAAGTTTTCCTAGAAGCCCAGTGGAGGCAGATCGAAGTAAAATACTTGCATGAAATAATTAACACCCATCTTCCCAGTAGTCCAATTGCAGCCATACCAAATGAATCAGGAGTATTGCAACAGATGCTGTATCATTAAGTACCAGATGTACAGCAATGGAGTTAAATACTAAATAGACTGAAAGTTGTAAAGTAGCACAGGTGAGGTGAATTCACCTCTTTTAGTTGGGAGTCTAACATGCAGTTGATATATGTTTTGCTGGCCTCTTGTTATTTTGGCAAGAGCCTAACTGCAAAAAAAAAAAAAAAAAAAAGAAAAAACGTGAGGGTAAGAGTTCACTATTTTTTTCCCCACATAAAGATGTTTTAAAGAAGATAAAAATTCTTGATTTGCAGTTCCTGTTTCTGCTATACTCTAGAAGAGATGCTAGCTTTAGGTTTATCGTTTCCTCTCTAAAACCAAATGGAACTACTATTTCATATTCTTTTATCCACCAGAATAACTGAATTTGCCTTGCCTGATTTTGTTGGGGTAAATATGAAACAGGAAGAAAAATAATAAAACTGAAATGCCACAGATAGATTAATAGACACTAACAGTGTGGTGGTCAATTGGGATTTACACGATCAACTGTTCTGTGTGACCCTTTATATTGACAAACACTGAAAACTGATGGAAACAAGAAACAGGCAAAAGAGCTATCCCATGCAGAACAGACTGTTCTGCATGGGATAGCCAAGTACATAAAGCAATTGATAACGAATTATCAAGACTCGTGGCATGCAGCCGCAGCCTCCTAAGAAAAAAATATCAACCTTAATTATGAGCATCTTAACCATTAGTTATCAATCACTAGCAATGAATAGAGAAACTCTCTAAATGATAGGGTATTTTGGCACATACAAACTACATTTAACAACTTCTTGCCTGTGGCAAGGACTACTATGTACAGCCCAAGCAAATTGGTGAGATCTTGTTTTCATTCAATATAGTTGCAATTGCATCCTAAGGTTTAATTTTGAATAATGGTTATTCAATGGCTATTTTAAGCTCCTATTTCATAAAATCAAGCCAGTTAAAAAAAAATGCAAAATCTCATTCCCGTTCAAGTTGCTAAATGCTGAACTGATAAAAAAGTACTATGTCTATATACCATGCTTGTACATGGGCTTTTGTGCCATCTGAACCTCTGTCTAGGGGACAGAGGTTGCTCATATACCAATTGCATGAAGATCTGTGTATATTGCTCATACGAGGAAGGAGGCTGGCTACAATATCAGTCATTTCCTCAAGCCTCCTTTTGCAAAAACTCTAGAAACTTGTTGTATACAGCATATTACCTTGCCTATAAAAAATTATAAGTTTAAGTTGCCTTACCAGGTCTTCAGGAAGAACAAGGACTGTGGTAACAACCTTTTAAGATTTAGAACCTGTTTTATGGAGACACTTGAAAAGTTTACATATAACTGCTTGCAGATCAAGAAAGAGAGGTGACTGGATTGAAATATAGACCTTTGGAAACTTTTTTCCTAGTTCCTGTTTATTTAAAATAACTAAGTAACTGGCTGGATTTCTCGAGCTGATGAGAAACAGTCCATCATGATGAAATTCTCCAATATTACTGCCTAGCAAGAAATCTGTGATATGTGAAGGCTAATAAGCAGTGAAGAATTTTAGTGTTCCTTATATGAAAAATGAAGTAATATAAAACCAATTTGAATATTTTTTAATCTGAAATTCATTAAATATTTCAGGTTCATACAGCGGAGGAGACTTGAAATGTCCCCAGATCCACAGCAAGAGCTGATGGTAATGACTTAATATCGTTTAAATTACTCTTCAGGATTCCCATCGTATCCTGCCTTGTGTATCTCTCATGCAGCATAGCAAGGGACAAAAAATGGAGAAGGGAAAAGGGAAAGACGTTATTTTTGTACTTTTTATGATACTACATATATATAGTTAACACCAAGCAGCTATATACAGATAGTTCAAAAAAAGTATGAATACATAAAGTGTCCAGTGATCCCAAACAGCAGGAGCATGAGGGGAATGACTCTTCCAAAGCATAGACTGGTGAATCTACAGAAGTTTGCATAACACCACTCTGAGTCACGTATGTCTGTAAAGTTATTTCATGGTCACTGGATCAAAGATCTACATAAACTAAAACTAAATATTTTGATTTCCAGCACATGGATAAGTGTTTGCAGTTATTCACATGCAGTTCGTTTACCTGAAAACCAGCAGTCACATGCAGTTTCTTGAACTGGGTGCAGCAGTACTCAACCCAGCAGCAGCAGCAGCTACTGAGTGCCAAAGGAAAATAAAACATGAAGAAGCATTATTCTGCTGGAAAAATGAAATGGAAAATGACTCTCCTGTAGCCATAGACTCATGAGGAGCATATTACATTACTAAAATGTTTAGCTTCGTAGTTGCAAACCAGCCACTAGAGGTCAGTGGTTTGGAATAAAATTAGCACAAGAAGGAAGAATTCAATTTCATTTCAAATGGCCAAATCATATAAAATAAAATTTCCCCCCACTGAGTAAGGAAAAAGTATTCTTAAGGTTAGCAGTGCTTACCTTCATCCTAAAGCAGAAAGCTAGTTTAAAATTCTTAAAAACAATACTAGGTACATAATATACCAAAAAAACTACTCTTATTCTCTACAGTAATATGCAGACATGCATAAGAATGCAGGACTGGAAGAAGCTTCTTGCATCATCAGGTCCAGTCTCCTGCTACTCCACCCGTCCTATAATCCCTTACATGAACAAAGAAAGGACCAGCTTAAAAGCAGCTTGATTCTTTTGCTTATAAGAAAAAATAAGAATTACAAGAATGTTAAATAAGCTTGATCAGTACTTTTAAAGTGCATAAAGGCAGGATATTAGAAAGATCTGTGCAGTGCAAGAATCTTCTTTCAAAACTATTTCCATTATAAATGTGTAACACTGCAAAGAGAAAAGGCTGACAGAGGGCAGGAAGAGGCTTTTTCATCATAAAGTGCAAAGTGTATATCCAAATAGGAAAAAAACCCTCATAATATTGTGTTTAATTTACTCATTTATCCACTGCTGTAAGCATACATACACATTGATGCAACTAAACATCTTACCTCTGCCTCACAGTGATGTTAAAAAATGTGAGATAATTAGAAATAGAACCACTGGATGCTCAAACACATGCACACTGAACTAATGCTTGATGCTATAACTATAATTTTCTAAGATTTCAATATTTCTCTGTATTATAGAGTTACACAACTGAAAATTCTAGTGGACATGAAAATTCAGAAAGTCAATCCTAGATTTCCATCTGCTATTACAAAAAAGCTGTCATTAATGGCTTTGATTTAAACTTTATCACTGAAAGGATTCACAATTTAGTCAGAACCTAACTGAAGTTGCTACAGCAGGAAGTATGTTGAAAGGGATTGTAATAGGAAACATCTGTCATCTCAAAACACTGTTCGGATTTTCTAGACTGAAAAAAAAGTAAATCAAAAAATGTTAAAATACTACATTACAAATATCATGTTCTATGCAAACACAGAGTAGGACAAAACCCCATGCAGTTTCACATACGAAATCTTCTACCAGATTGCCAAGAAAAAAACATAGCAAAGCAACACGGAAAGAGAAATGAAAAAAAAAAGCCAAGAAGCCCAGTAATAATATAGACCAGAGCATTTATTTCTTTACTTTTCCACTATAGGAGCTTCAAACATAATTCCACTGCAGCTATTTTCCATTTTAAGGAAACCAAGATTAGCCTGTCAGTTTGTGTACAATGTAGCAGCATCTGAACATGCTATTCCAGCAGTATTTTAATAGAGAATAAATTCGAAATAATTTACAGCTTGAAAACTTAAGTACTATCCAGAGGATTCTGACTGCATGAAACCATGAATGGTGAACTGGGGTTTGTGAAAGCAACAGAATACCCAGTAGGATTTCCAGACCTCTTTTTATCACAGAGATAAACTTTTCTGCGTTCTCATTATTTTTATCCCCATTCTTCTTCCTTCTCTTTCTATTGCATTCCTACCTGTGTGAAAACTATAGCTGACTTTGCTTTAGCCCTTGCAGATAATCTAGTCCTGCACCTTTTTTAATTTCTGATTTTCAGCTTAATTTTCCTGTGCAATATCTCAACTAACTGATGCACTGTCTTCATCTAACATACTCTTCCTCTCCCCATTAGCAAAGGATCATGAGTGAATATTCATAGGAACACATACAGCAAATGAAAATACCATGATCAGCACTTGTTCAAGGAAACCAGTTTCCTCACCCAAGGCAGGAGTCTGGACTGTTGTAGAACTTCACTCACCTCAAAGCAAGATATCATGGTCAGACACATGGAAACTGTTATAGACATGAACTTAAATTATCTTAAATGAAGAGCAAAGTCTTTCATGGCTCCTTAAAATACAATTCACACTACTGTTTTTACAAAACCACAGCTGTATGGACGTAGCCAGCTGTGGTAGAATAAAGCCCAGCTCATTGGCACCGGGGTTGAACAGAAGTCCACTAATAAATGTGCCATCACAAATGAGCTAAGCCTAGCCCACAAGAAGAGGGTAACATAGGGTCACATTATTAATCACACCGGTTCACAATTTTGCTTAAAAGTTGCAAAACAAATTATTATTATACTGATATAAATTCCAAGTAAAAAAGCACTAGCCACAACTCATTTTCAGTTCAGCAGTGGCACTTAGGTAGTGGGATGTAATCAGACACAAAATAACCTATTTTAAAATTAAAAGGACAGGACTTCTGCCAAAACACAGGTGTACAACTTTCTCTATTAACACCTGCACTGAAAATATGGCAGTGAACTGGGCACATAGGTAGATTTTTTCCCACAGAAGTTGGGGTTAACTATGCCAGGTGTAAAGTAGAATAGTTCAAATGACTTAAAGACAGGGATCAGCTTTTTTTGGGGGTTGACATACACATTAATCTTCCTGTTTCTCTAGAAAAAGCAAATGAGATGCCGCAATGGCTCACTGCATCCTACTCTATTCTAAACATAAACACACATACAGAAAATCAAACCCAACACCCAACATGCACCTACAACATTTAACAGAAAAAGCTGTTGGTCAGTAAAAAGTCACTCACAGATTTGAACTTAAACAAGTGCTGTTTTGCAACACAACACTGATAATACTTAAAATTCAGAAAAATATATACAATCTGATTTCAAGAACAAAACCATAGCCGTATCAATACAGAAAACAATTTAATTTGTTTCAAAATAAATATTTGACATACAAAGCACATACAGTGAAAAAGGGTCACAATAAATTACAAATGGAGATACTTGCTCATTCACTGAGAAAAGCCCTTGATATTTTCAATTTCATATCATCAAATTTATCATTCTTGCTGATTTAAGCACAGCACTGAACAAATATGGATCCCAGTGCTTTCTTTCACAGGTACTGGTATGGATAATTTACTGCAGTGATCCAATTTGAAAATCAGTAGGGACCAGTAAATCACTGCATAAAAGAAAGAGCGAATGAGGTGCTTTTTCCTTAGTGTCAGCAGCCTGCGATTATTATGTTTATTAGATTTTCTTGAAAGGGCTTCACATTTTTCCAAATATGCAGGAGAACTGTATTTCCCCTCTGAGCCCTTACATTAGAATTTTGTGCCTCAGTCCTTGAATACAAGTAAAAGATGAATTTTTCAATTAATTTTAAAAGTTTATACCATCTGGATGGCACAGAACTAAACAATGAAACTCCCTTACCTGCACAACATCTGCTATTATCACAGAGCTAGCTTCCGCAGAGAAGTTAGTAAGTAATGCTGACATTTTATGAGAAAGATTTTTGAATCCACATTTAAGATTAAATTCTATTACATTATCCATACTGATAATGCATCTTTGAAATAAAGGATTGCTTAAGGTTCTGTCCTTAAAAGGTGATTTAAAACAGCGAGGCCTGACTGCTCCTGTGACTTTAAGAAAATTACAGCACAATAGAAGTTACAATACAATGATACACTAGCCAATTTCAGTATATACAGTTTAAACATAATAGATGCACTGCAGCAATTAAAAATTATAGACAGTTATAAGATTAGCATACCCTACTACCATCTAGCACATTAAGTGCTTGCCATCTTGTTCTGTTGTATTATTTTTCATCAGTGCAGAGATGATGATACAAGGGACCATACCTAGCTCTTGCATGTGGAAATCAGTTTTTGATACTGCTTTAACAGGGCATGCTGTCTAGTTCAAAGTCTTTTCTGCCCTTAATCTGAGCACCGTAAGGTACAGTACTTTTTTAAGCCAGCATAATTGGTATAATTTTGGGAGCAGGACCAACAAGTCATGTGTGGTATAGAAACAAATCAGTTTCCTCTGGGCACTTGTCCAACTCTCTTTGTCCTATTTCCTGCTCTGCCAGAGCTCTTACACCCCCTCAGGAAAGTGCTCTTTTCTTCCATGTCTCCATTCCTGTCTGTAAAATGGACAAGAACTATACTTCCTTAATAACCATGGGATCTGTACAGCAAATGTTACACTACAGGTGCCTAACAAAGAAACAGTCCAACACAGACTGTACAAAATAACCAGACACGTTATTTGTTTGGACAGTACTATAACATATATAGTTAGCAGCTCAAAAACTGTTGGAAGAAATAATGGCTCACGATTGTAATGGATTTTTTTTTTTAAATCCCTAAAACATGCAACTTAAAATATTAACAGATATTGCTCACCTTAAGCATCCATCAAAGAAGGGAGCAAAATATAAAACTGACAGCACAGAAATTACAATAAAAGTATACAATTAAATAAAAGGCGATAAAGGAAAGGATGGATGTATTGGTGAGTTACTTGGTGTGTAAGAAATCCCAGCTGGCATTAGGTATTCCAAAAGTCTCCATTGGCTCTTGATACTTTATTTACCTACAGGTGACAACAGAAACTGTTATGCTGGAGTGTCACTTCTACTTGTTTGTGCAGAGCAAGGGGTGGGTCTACTCACAGAATCTATGCAACAGCACTTATCTTATGAAAGCTGAGATGACAAAAAGCAATGACCAGTGTGATTTATACCAGTGGAAACAGTTACCTAACACTAGGTAGGTAACCTTTCAGTAAAATAAAAACTCTTCTGCTTCACATTTGGGGTTGACAGGCATTTTATGGTCAGTTGCAAAATTTCTCTGCAATCATAGACTTCTGTCACAGCCTCTGTATCACAGCTAGGATACAACCAGCAATTCATATCTAATTTAATCATTAGTGTAGAAGCAATCACAAACCATGGCAAGTAAGCAGGCACAAGGACAGAATGTTTTTGCCAGTATTGAGGAAATGCACGGTTATCTCTTAGGCAGCCAAAAGGCTGCAGTAAAAATCAAAGCTGATGCAGAGTACAGGTCAGTTGCCCTATTTATTTAGTTTGAACATTATTCTTATAACATTGTTCCATGTTTTCCTGGCACG